TCAAGATAGATTATGTAAAGGTACAAATCTCCAATGATGAATGTCATTATACTGTATACCTAAAATGTACCAATAAACTTAATTTTAAAAAGAGTTGGAGAGAGCTGAGAAGGATGTGAGGGGAAGGGGACAGAGAAGAATCCAGATGTGTTATGTACATGTATGAACTCCCCCAATAGATGTAATCATTATGTGCTGCAAACACATACTAAAAATACACAATTAATTAAAACAGAAAAAAAGCAAGGAAGAAACTTGCACCAAAACCCCCTTAGATGTGCATGTTTGTCTCATTGACTAGCATCTAGTTACATGTCAAAATGTAAAGCAATCACTGTCAAGCTAATCAAGCTTCACTTCTGAGATGGGGAGAAGGTGTTTCCCTGAAAACCTGCCCCCAGGAGGGTTAATACCAGAACAGACTTAGAGCCCACCCAGTGAGAGGAGGGAAGGGAGCTGGGTAGCATCCTGCCAGGGCACCCAGAGGTTCCACGGGTGAACTCCACCAATCACAGGTGGAAAATATTCAAAAAAAGATACCTCTGTATTGAGTATGTACAGGCTTTTTTCTTGTTATTATTCCCTAAACAATAGAGTTTAACAACCATTTACATAGCATTTACACTGTATTAGGTATTATAAGTAATCTAGAGTTGACTTAAGTCTGAGGGAGGATTGTGTACATTATATGCAAATGCCATGTCTTTGTATGAGGAACTGGAATGTCTGTGGATCCTGCTATCCCCAGGTGTCCTGGAACCTGTCCCCTGAGGAGACTAGGGGGCTGACAACAACAGAAAGCTTTCATTACAGTGTTCATACGGCAAAGAGCTTGATTCACTGGGATAACATGGTGTCTAACACATGATTGTGTAAAGCATGCTCTGGGGCTGGGAGTGTAGCTCAGTGGTACAGTGATTGCCTAGGATGCACAAGGCCCTGGGCTCACTCCACAGCATTGCAAAAATAAAAAGAAAGAGAAAGAGAGAGATAGAGATAGAGGCAGAGAGAGAGAGACAGAAAGAGACAGAGGAGAGAGAGAGGGAGAGAGGGCAAGAAGGAGAGGGCACACTCTGTTCATTGTTTTTCAAGGACATGATTTGCTTTCACTTCTTTTGTTTTCTTGTAGCTTGAAGTGGCCATCCAACCAGGGGCTTCTAAAATGAGTTAGTTGATGTAAAGAATTTAAAATAGAGCTTGACATTGGGTAAACCTCACATATGTGTTTGTTGCTGTTATTCTTATTATTTTAATTTCTTCCCTGGTATAACACTCTTTTCCATGTGTTCCCTTCCTTTCTGTTTAATTTGTTGGTATGAAGACCTGAGGCGTGAGGCTATGGCAGCCATTTTGTGACCATGAGGTTCTGGGTTCAATCTTTGGCTCCACGAAAATAAAATGACAAGTTTATATGATTCAACCTAATATATGGTAACCCCTTTCTACAGGCCACATGACCTGAACAGGTGACCCTTCCACCTGACCAATGATAGCATTCCATTCCCTCAATACCGCAATCAGAGGGGATGGGCTGGCCATGTGACCTCAGACAATCGGAGCCCTTCCCTGGGATTTTTCTCTTAGAACTAGAGATTCTGCCATTTGACCTCTGAGCTATGGAAGGCCTAGGTCTGTCTCTAATAAATGACCCTTTTCCCCTACCATATGTAGTTGAAAGAGAAGAATCTAAGCTGAGAGGAGCAAAGAAGAGAAACATGTGGGAAGAGGGTCTTGGAGAGGCTGAGTCTGTGTTCCTGGCCCCAAGGCCTTGCTTCTTGGGCTTTACCCTTAATTCTGTCTCTTTCTCAGCTCTGTGGAGTGTGTGTGTGGGGGGGGACGTTACCCTTTTTCTGCCTAATTTATTGTGCTGAGTTTCTGTCACTTGCCACCAAAAGACTCTTAAATAACCCCTGACCTTCCAGGCTGGGCTGGGCACCTCCTCTGGGCTCCCAAGGTCTCCTCAACACCCCATCACAGCCCCATAGTCCATCTGAGTTCCAGGATGGCAGGGACTGGATCTGCCCTGGTCATCGTTGGGTCTCCAGCGCCCAGCACTGGGCTAGCACAATGCCCGAACACTCCACTTGGATGCTGCGTGGCTGTGCTCACCTACTGTGTCTATTCCTTAGGTCTAAAGCCCTTGATTCTCAAAGACAAGTATGGCACTGGCCTTAATAGATCCCTCCCTATGAAATGATGGGCTTGGGGCTATAGAAGAGGGAAGGTGGGTGGGGGGTCATACAAGGGCTTGGACTAGGGACCTTGTGGGCCCAAAATTCATGATGAATAGATAGCAAGTTCTGAGACAGAAATTCCTAATGTATCCCCCCTGGGGCTGGGGATGGAACCTAGGGCCTCAACCATGCTAGGCAAGTGCATTATCACTGGGCTACCTCCCCACCTCTTCTTAAATTTGGAAACAAGACCCCACTAAGTTGCACAGGCTGGGCTCTGACTTGCAGTCCTCCTGGCTCAGCCTTCCAAGTAGCTGGGATTACAGGTGTGTACCACTGCACCAAGCCTAATTTTGTTTTGAAAGTAAGCATATCCCATCCCAAAGCTGGAGTCTTCATGGATATCAGACCCCATACTCACCCCACTGAAAACCACCAGCCTCCCATAGCTCTGAAGAATGACGTGTTAACTCTCAATCACAGGCTACCAGGTTCTGTGGAAACTACCACCTGCTTGCTTCTCTTAACACCTGTCCTCTCCCTCTCATCATCACTCCAGTCCAGACACACTACCTGTAGCACACCAAGTGCACCTCTGCCTCCAGGCCTTTGCACATGCTGTTACTTTTGTCTTATCCCAGAATGGACATCTTCAGCTCAAACTTCATGTTCCTTGACCCCTCACCAAGCTGAAGTAGGCCTCCCAGGCATACCCTGTGCTGTCATCTTTTCTTTCATTCCTCACGTGGCATTAATTTACCATTACTTTTTTTCTTCTAGTACTGGGGATTGAACCCAGGGCCTTCACACTGAGCTACAACTCAGCCCTGATTGATTGATTGATTGATTGATTGACTGATTTTGAGAGAGGGTCTCACTAAATCACTTAATTTACTTATGCTGAGTTCAAATTTACAGTCCTGCTGCCTCACCCTCACAGAGTGGTAGGATTACAGATGTGTGCCACCACACCTCTACCACTCATTATTTACTTGCTTTGCTTATTAATTTGCTTCCTCTCCCTTCTAGAATAAAAGCTCCAGAAAGCAGGGCTTTCTTGTGTTTAGTTTGCCTGTTTTGTTCATTACTATAGCCCCTGCAGTGGGCCATGTACTCAGGCCATGTCCAGTAAAGCTTCATTGAAGGCAGGCATGGTGGTGCACACCTGTAATCCTAGCAGTTGGGAGACTGAGGCAAGAAGATTTCTGTAAGTTCCAGGCCAGCCTGGGCTACAAGTGAGTTCAAGCCCAGCCTGAACTGCATAGTGAGACCCTGTCTCAAAAAACAAACAAATCAAAGCTTCATTGAGTATCTCAGAGACGATGGTTAGGTAGGCAGGATGTGGAGGTGGCCCAGCCACCCAATCATGACTCTGCCACTTACTGACTTGTGTGATGCTGGGCAGTTTGTCTGAGTGCCAGTTTCCTCATCTAGAAAGTTGGGTGCACACACCACATGCATCTGCAGCAGGCTTTAATGCCATTGGGTTTACTGTGGGAGTCACTCCATTGCACAAGTGCTATGCCACGGGCACTGGGCGGTGGGCTCCTGATTCACCCATCAGGGAAGGTTTGCCAGAGCAGTGTCTGGCCGGTGGGAGGCACTCGGGACCCAGGTGTCATCTCGAGTGACAAGGATGAGTGTGGCTGGGCCACTGGGTGAGGGAGCCTCCTGGCCTGTGATTCCCTGATGCTGCTGTCCTTGCTGCCTCCCACCCTGTCTGCCCAGATCCATCCTCCTCCCTCCTGCTCTGTTTCTATTTCTGTCTTTCTCTCCTCCTCCCCAGGCCTCAGGGGGCCCCTGGCTGGCTTGAAGCCTTCTTCCTTCTTCCTGGGGATTGGGGATCGGGAAGGTGTTTTCACTGCTGGGCCCTGCAAGGGCTGGGATGCCCTGAGCCCCCCAACACACACACACACACACCAGCTGTCCTTCCCAGACTCAGCCCCTCCCCACAGCACCCTCCTCGGTCCCACCCAACGCCACTTTTCCGAGGCTCCCTCAGGCTCCAGATGCAGTGTCCAGAGCTCTCCCTCGCCCCCCACCCCATAAGGCTACCCTTGGGCACACTCAGCCAAGGTCACAGGGCCACCCCAGCCTCAGATGCAGACCATAGAGGCAAACTGCCAGGCCCAGTATTTAATAATGGGGGTAAGGGAGGATGATCTCGGACAAATGACTTCCCCTCTCTGGTTCAGATGCCTATCTATAAAATGGAACAAAGGATATCGACCTCACACAGTGGTGGGGTGTCAGAGAGAGGGGTGACCACTCAGTGACTGCTCTGCAGAGTGAGCTCAGGTTAAGAGGACAGACTCAGAAGCCACCTGCCTTTTAATTTTTTATTTACCTCTTTATTCTTGTGATGGGAATCTGGCCGTGTTGCCTAGGCTAGTGTCAAACTTCTAGACTCAAGATCCTTCTGCCTCAGCCTCCTAAGTTGCCAGGACTACAGGTGCGACCACCATGCCCAGCTCTGCCTGCCTTTTTAAATCCTAATTTTTCCACTTTCTGGTTATCTTCTCATGGGCAAATTATTTAACTTTTCTAGACCTCAATTTCTTCATCTGTAAAATGGGATAACGGTACCCCTGTCCTAGGGTTCTTGCAAGGCCTAAATGACTTAAGTGCTTAGCACATAGTAGGCACCTGTGATAGCTATAATTGTCGGTTTATTTTTATTATTCCCCACTCCACGTCTGTGCGAACACAGGAGCCGCCTGTCTGCCGGTCTGCCGGCCGGTTAGTCATTTCTCCTTCAGTCTGACTTGGGTCCCTTATGCAACAATCTAGGTGCCCTCCCCCAAGACACATGGACACACACACAGGTCAGCAGAGCGGCCTCGGACACAGAAAAAAAGTTTAATTCTGCTGCGGCGGAGGGTTCCGGCTCCGGTAGGGAGGGGGATTTGGTTTTGGATTTTGTTCATGTGGGATTCATTGGGGGAACGAGGAAGGCATAGGAGAGAGTCTGGTCCATTCTGTGGGACCTGCCCGGGAGAGCGGGGAGCGAGGAGAGGAGATCTGGAGAGACGGGAAGACTGGGTCGAACCCCGGAGGGCACAGGGAGAGCAGACGACAACGGGGCACAGAAAGGAGAGACAAGTAGGGCCAGACAGAGACATGAGACAGAGGGCGAGACAGAGACAGACGAGGGGAAAAGAGGAAGACCCCAAGCCAGACCCAACGGGACCAGGGAGGTGAGTGGGGTGAGGTGGGGCTTTGGAGGCCGCCGCGGGACAGAATAGGATCTAGTCCAGCCAGATACAAGAAATGGGCCCCTCGCCCCTGCCCCGGGTCCCGGGCTAGGGGAGGGGCTCGTGTCTCAGTGCTGCAGTGTCGAGGGGGGGGCCCTGCCCCTCCCCGCGCTTCGCTGTGTAAGGCACCGGCTCCAGCGAGGTCCGAGAGCGCGCGGGGGGGAGGGGCAGGAGGCGGGGCGGGGCAGGAGATGGCCCCGGCCAAGCCCCTGCGCGGGGGCGTGGCCTCGAGCCTGGGGTGGGCGCCCCTCCCGGAGGAGCTGGGCGCGTCTCTGCGCACACTTCCCTGGTCCACCCTGGCGGCCAGGCGGCTGGGCGTTGGTCCGCGGCCCCCAGGCATCCCGGCGCCCGCCCCCTGGCTCACACGGTACTCTCCAACATCCACTCGGTGCTGGTAAAGGCCAGGCGCGCCCTGGCGGAGGCCAGCCCCAGGTCTCCATCCTCCCCGGCCGCGCCCCCTCCGGCCCCGTCCAGGTGCGGCGTGGAACGGTGGCGCTTTGTCCGCCGGGCGCGGCGCGGGTAACTGTGGCTCTGGAAGAGCGCCCCGTAGTCCCCGTCGAAGGAGTAGCGCTGCTGCGGCCTGGGGCGGGCCGAGGCTCCCCCGGGAACCAGAGCTAGAGTCGGGGGCGCTGACGCTGGCGGCCCCAGAGCCCCAGAACGGCTCCTCCGAGGCCCTGTCACTGCTCGAGACTCCTCCCCAGAAGTTTCCTCGGATGGCAGCAGGCACAGCGAGGTGGCTGAGCCGCCCAGCGAGCGTCCCAGCACCACCTCTGGTTCCATGGAAGTTGCCTCGGCCGCAGTGGCCTTGGCCTCGACGGCGACGGCAGCAGCAGCTGGCACGGTCACCTCGCGTCCTGGCGCCACCTCACGCAGCGCCTCGTAGCGGTCCTGCGCGGGCTGAGCAGCTGGTTGCGCGCCAGCGCCATTGGTCTGGGAGCACACGTGGCTGACCCTCGGGGGCGACCTGGAGGTGCCCTTGCCGCGGCGGCTGTCCCCGTCGCCGTACACCTTGTAGCGAATCATGAGCAGAACAATAAAAACGAGGACTGAGGCGACAATGACGCCCCCGATGGCGATGATCATGGTGCCGCCCAAGAAATGGGCCCTCAACGGACGGCAAGGCGCAGGATCCCCAGCAGTGGTGAACTGCACGCAGCCCACCACTCTTGTGGCTGGCAGGGCGGTGGCCCCATCGTCATAGACTGCCAGAACGCACAAGTCGTAGGCGCGGCCTGCTGCCAGATCATTCACCAGGAAGGTCTGGCTGGTGGACGGGATCATCCTGCAGGAAAGGGCAGGAGCAGAGCAGAGTTAGACCCACTCTGAACTATTCCCTTTCACTTTAGGCCCCACTGATAGTAAACAGAGAGGATGGAAAAGTACTCACAGTATCTCATCCCCTACTGGGCCACATTTCTCACCCTTTCAGGACCGGGTTACAGGCCACGCCTCTAACCTGCATGCCTCCCCAGACCCTCCCAGACCCACCTGGCTGTCTCAGCACCCATCTTTCCCCAGGGACACATCCTGGCACCTGCCTGGGAACAGCGCTGCATAGGTTTCACCCCTGGCCTCAAGGGACATGCCTTCTTAGAGTGTCTCACTCCTATTAGGACAACTGCCATTCACGCTCCACTCTGTCATCTGCACATAGTTACCATTTAAGGGAACTGATGCTACTGGCCACTCCCCCTTATCAGCACACCCCAGCCCTACTCAGGTGGACGCCAACATCAGTGGGAAACTGTGATGCAGGTCCCTCATTTGTATCTGCATGCCCCACCTTTAGGTAAAACAGGTAGCTTCTGGCACAGTTTCTGGGCCCCTTGACTACACATTCCCACTCATGGAACCATTGCTACAAACTACTCCCCTTCTGATTGAACTGTGGCTTCCGAGTCACACCATGCAAAGGCCAAATAAGGATAGCTTCCCTACTGTGCTTAGGCCCATGTGCACCCCTTGCATGCCTAGGCCTGTATCACCAGAAGCCACCAAATCACACCCCCAGAATAACATGCACAATTGAGTCAAATGTAGCCAGGCACACCTGCTCCTTTCTTGCTATGGGCCCCTCCCCTCAAGTGAAGAGCAGTGTAGAGATTCAATGAAGCCAACCCAATCTGAGAGCCAGATTGCCTGGGTTTGAAGCTCTCCTTTGCCCCTTGCTAGCTCTGTGAGCTTAGGTAATTTTCTAAACTCTGTGCAACATTTTCCCCAAATGAGGATAACTCCCATATCACCAAGATGGTATGAGGAACAAATGAGTTAAAATATCCAAAGCCTGGAACTATCACTATTAGCTTCTATCCCATTTAATGTTGGCCAGGAACCCTTACTGTGGCTCCCACTCCTGCCAACTGCACAGTCTCCTCCATCTGTGAGACCCGTCCCCTCCCCTGGAGGGCTACACCTTCAGGCCTTAGCTCAAGGCTGTATAGCACATCCCCTCCACCCTGCCGGCTGAGTGCAGCCTCAGCGAGCCCAGGCCTGCCAAGTGCACATGGATTTGCATGCCAGCACTCCCCCCCACACACACAAGCCCTTCTTTCCTGTGAAGCCTCTTAGTGGCTCACCAGGGACAAGGACCACCCCTTCTTCTGCCTGGGACCATGCAGAACAAGCTCCACCCCTCTGGAAGGCCATGCCCCATCTCCACAGCCCTCTAACCTCTAGGGGAAGCTCCACCTTTCCCTCCAGCTGGGCCACCTTCGGGTCCTCAAGCCCCACCTCAGGCATCCAGCCCCACTACCAAGAGTACCCTCCAACCAAAGGATTCAATACAGGCCCCCAAAGGCTCACCCACTCTCCCCTTCTACCTCATTCTGACTTTTCTCAGACGAATGCCACTCTGTTCCACCCACCCTGGCCTCCTCCCTGGCTTTGTCTTCCTCTTCCTCTTCTCACTTCCTCTCTCTCTGAGACCCTTGGATTCCCTTGCTACTTTCCCCAAAATAACTAGTTGCTAGGGGTTCCCCTTTCTCAAGGACAGAGACTGGCTCCTTAAGAAAGCTGGAGCCCACGTGTCTCTAATTGGCTGCAAGACCAGAGCAAGCAGCTGAGCAGGCTTCTGGTTGGATGTCATCTCCACCCCGCCCCGTGGTAGCAGTGAGAATGTTAACCCTTGCAGTGCCATAGCACAGCATCTGCAATAAGGGATGGAGGACTAGAACTGTGGCCCTAAGAGGAAAGGAAGATCCCTGGAATCTGTTGCCCAGCTGGGGATGGGGCCATCGACAGCTGCATACATCCAGGGTCTGGGGGCCTGTGAACTGTCCCCCATCCCATCTTGTGGTGACCATGGGTCAGAAAGAAGGAAAGAGAAACAGAGAGGTAGAGAGTCACAGAAACTGAGTTGTTTACATACATGGATTATCATCTCCCCTCCATCCCTGCCTGGCAAACAGTAGGCATTCAATAAGAGTGCCTTCTCCATAAGAACAGCCCTGTTACTTTCCATGTGAACATGGGCAAGTGACAATCCCCACTGAGACACAAGTTCATCTGTAAAACAGGAAAGAGCTGGGGAAATGAAGTAGCAATCTTGAGAGCGTCTCATGAAGCTTCCTGATTGGTTCACTTGTTTGCCTACTATTTGCAAGACTAGTCCTGGCTGCTCTAAGTTAGGAGGCCCAAGGCCCAACACAAGATCTGACACAAGTAAGTATTTACTCGGTGTTTGGTGGCCAAAATCAAAACAAGAAAAACAATATGGATGTGGTTGCACACATCTGTAATCCCAGCACTTGGGAGGCTGAGGCCGGAGGATTGCTGTGAATTTGAGGCCAGCCTTGGCTAAATAATGAGTTCAAGGCCAGCCTGAAGCACACAGCAAGACCCTGTCTCAAAAGAAAAAGAAAAAGAAGAAAACAGAACCAAAGAGAAAGAGAGGCATTTATTCATTCAACCAACAAAGAAAAGATGCCTCCAGGCCTGTAGCCATGAGAACACTGGGAAAGGTGGAGATGGAGGCCAAGAGACAGGCTTTTGTGAAGGTCTGCACCCATGAGCTAGGGCTCCCACAGGTGGGGAAATGCCTCTGGCCTCCTCCAGTAAATTCAAACACAAGCCCAGGCATTCAGCAGGTGCTCTTCAGTGTCCGTGAGGGAGGCAGAGACAGGACAGATACATAAGTCAACAGTCACTTATCAAGTGCCCACCATGTGCCATGCCCACTGTATACCACTTCTGTGACCAAGAGCTGTACTGGAAACCACTGAGATGGGAACACTCAGGGCCAAGGCAGTGGTTCTCTGCATTCTGTGGGCCTCCTCCCACAAAGCTGTGAGCTCCCTGAGGGCAGGGACCCGGTGTCCTGGGCTCCCAGGGCTCCCAGCACCCAGCTCAGGACCTAGCACAGAGCAGGGGCAAGAGGGAGAAGTGGTAGAGACAGAAAGAATACCAGACATGAGGAAGATGGTAACTCCCATGTCTGTCTACACCATACAGGTCTGTTCCCGTCAGGGCAATGGCTTCTAACCCAACGGAGGGTAGAAATAGTGCAGATTTTTCTCATACTTTTTTGTTTTCTAATGTACCCAATGTGTTGGTATAATAGTACTGGTATATTGGGCCAGGGATTTAGCCCAGTGGTTTCGCAGCCTGCTGCGCAAGTGCAAGGACCCGAGTTTGATCCCTGGTACCAAAAAAAAAAAAAAGATAGTACTGGTATATAATTTCTAAATAGAAATATAACTGTAAACATATGTGTGTGCTGTGCTCTCAACGCTTAACTGAAGAGGTACATGATCAGACCCTTGTGGCCAGCAGTGATATTGACCACAACGCCCCTCAGATCAGGCTCTAAACAGCCAATCACTCTGTGCTGCTTCACTGCTACAACTCCAGTCCTCAACCCTGGTCTGCTCATGGTGGTGCTCAACACATATTTGGTAAGCTAAAGGAAAATAGAGACAGTGAGACAGAAATAGAGAAGAGAGGAAGAAGGGCCAATGAGGGCCTGGGACAAGTAGGCAAGACCATACAACCCCAGCTGAACAAGAAGACCAAGAGGTGGGCAGGTGAGAGGGAGGGGCCTGGGCTGGGGAGGGGGTCCTGGGCCACAGCCCACACACGCACCTGTAGACCAGGGAGTCATCCGCCGAGCTGTTGTACTGGACCTGGTACATGCGGATGCCAGGCACCGGCCTCTGAGCGGGCCAGCGGATAAGCACTGAGCTGGAGGTGAGCTCCGCCGCCACCAGCCTGCGCTCAGCAGTGGAATCGTTGGCACCAGGTCTACCTGGTGTGGCGATGTCAGAGGAGCCGGGCTCAGTGAGAGGCGGCGGGGCAGCTGGTGGGGGCGCCATCAGTGGCAAAGGTACTACGCACACCTCCACGGGCGCCGTGGCTTCCCCCGCAGCATTGGAAGCAATGCAAGTGAAAGTGCCACTATCCCGCAGGGTGGTAATGGTCACATCCAGTGTCCCATCCCCCCGGACGCGGGTCCGGCTGGAGTTTCCCAGCAGCCGCCCATCAGGTGCCACCCAATGCACCACGGGTTCAGGGTCCCCCACCGCCCGGCAGCGCAAGCTGACCGCCTGGCCCTCTACCACCAGGGCCCGGCCTCCTGCCTGCCGCGTGATCAGCGGGGGTTCACACAGGAACTCCTCCTCGGGGATGGACCAGAAGTAACGGTCAGTGAGGTGCTCTGGGGTGGCGCAGGTCTCCAGGTCGTCCTCCCGGGTCAGCCGCCGCAGCCAGAGCAGCTCACAGTTGCAGTGCAGTGGGTTTCCGCCGAAGCTGACAGTCAGCGGAGTGGGTGGCTTGGGTCCACCACCCTGGGACCTCAGGAAGAGCCCGTCAGGCGGGAGTTTGTGCAGGCGGTTGGAGGTCATGTCCAGGCGCACCAGCTTGTGCAGCTGCACGAAGGTCCCCTCGGCGATGTGGTCGATGAGATTGTGGTCCAGCGTGAGTGTGTTGAGGTTCACCATCTGGCCCACCGCCTCCCACGGCAGGGCCTCCAAGTTATTGTAGGACAGATCCAGGTCCTCCACGGTGGACAGGAAGGCGTCAAAGGCGGCGGGCTCCACCTTGCGGATCTGGTTGTTGCCAAGGATCAGGTGGCGGAGGTTGCCCAGGCCGCGAAGCTGGTCACCGCGCACCTCAGCCAGACGGTTGCTGTCGAGGTGCAGGGCGCGGAGGGCGCGGAGGTCTGCGAAGGCTCCGGGTGCCACCTGGCCGATGGTGTTCCGGGAGAGAGTGAGATGCACCAGGCTGGTCATGTTGGCAAAGTCTCGGCGGCGCACAGCAGCGATGAAGTTGTCGGTGAGCCGCAGCTCCACCACGCGCCTGTCGATGGCCGGCGGCACGAAGAGCAAGCCGGTCTTAGCGCACAGCATGGTCAGCGTGGGCGCCACGTTCTGGCAGATGCAGCGGCCCGGACACGGCTGACTGCGAGATGCCCCGGCCCAGAGCAGCAGCAGGAAGGGCAGGGCAGCAGGTGTCGGCGAGAGGAGCACCGAGGCAAAGGGGCCCGGAGCCATGGTGCAGTGGGAAGGCAGGAGTGGGCAGTGAGACCTGCAGGGACAGAGACAGTTACCCAAGCACATGCGCAATCGCCTCCCAGCAGCCCTGGGATGCCCTACTAAGAGTCAGACTTGCATCCCTTTCCCCAAATCACTAGACCCTATAGGACAGACAGGACTTGTCATCAGCTGCCATGCATTCCATATTAACAGATGACTATATTTCCATGCTGCTTGCTAACGTGCCAGCTCCCCTCCCATGAGTGCTCTACCCCCACCTTTGCCCCCTTTCTAGGAGCTTCTTGACTTCTCATGATCTCGAAATAAGAAAGGTGACACCTGGCCCAGCCTGGGCTCTTCACTATCCACCAAATATTTTGAAATCACAGTGGACTGTGATTTAAGGCTTGAGATGTCAAAAGCATACTCTCAATTCCATTCCCAGCTGTGACACTTACTAGCTGTGTGACCTCGGGCAAGTGTCTGAACCCCTCTGAATCTCGGTTTCTTCATCTGTAAAAAGGAGACATAAGTCTTACCTCTATGAGGACTGGGTGGATTAAAGAACATGACGCGGATGACTTAGAACACTGCCTAGCATGTAAAACGGGTATAATACATCCAAGCAATCATCGTCATCATCAAGTGCCTGATAAGTACCAGGTACAGAACTGTCCACTATTATAAAGAGCAACTGCTTTGCACTCAAACAGATTCAGACTCAAATCCTGGTTCCCCATTTGTTAGCGCTGTGACCCCACACCAATGATTTCCCCAGTGAGGCTGTCATGCCTTGATTTGTAAATTGGGATGACAATGTCTTCACTGAATTCACACGTGAGAACCACTGACACAAGGACTGGCGTACAGTAAGTACTCAATAAATGTTAAGATGGCCCCTTCCGCCTTTCGCAGGGCAGAGAATATGGTGATGGGAGGAGCTGAGAAAAAGGCATCAGAGTCTCCCACCCGGGCCGCCCAGAGTCCTCTTCTGAGTCCTCCTCTGAGTCCTCCTCTGAGTCTTCCTCTGAGTGTGGCTTTGTGCTGGGCTCAGCTCAGCTCTCCAGCAGGGCCAACTTTGGTGCTCCTGACAGTGGGGAAACACGAGGCCCCATCCATGCCTACACACGTACACACACTCACACTGTGCCTATGCTCCAGGCAAAACCTTCCGGCAGGGATTCCCCCTGCAGCAGCTGCAGCCTACGACATGTCAACTCCCATCACAACACAGGGTGGGCGAGGCAGGAAAGGATGGGAAGGGGGCAACCCTGAAACTGTTTCCACCCCACCCTGCCCTGGACCCCAGCCTCTGCTGGCCCACCTCCCAGGAACCTGTGTGTGTAGCAGGGACCATATGTGGCCTTGATCTTTCTCCCCATGGAAGGGGGGAGTGGAGCTCAGAAAGCCAGACAGAGGTAAAGAGAGACAGGGAGAAGCAAAGAGGAAAGCAATGGACTGACAGAAAGAGATTCAGAAAGGAAAAGAGTCTCCAAAGAAGGGAAGGATGGCTAGTGGTATGGCTCAGTGGCAGAGCACTTGCCTGGCATGAGCGAGACCCTGAGTCCCACCCCCAGCACTATAATAAAATATAAATTTTTTAAATGAAGAAATGGGGTGACAATGAGGCAGGGGGACAGAGAAAAACTGAGAATGAAGGAGAACCACAGAAAAGACACATGCAGAGACAGTCAGCAGGAAAGGGAAAATGTTAAAGAGACACCAATGGGAGGAGACTGAGAGGGAGGAAGACAGTGATCCGGCTGAGGAGGGAAAAGGAGGCAGGATGGGGTGTCTCACCATCTCTAGGAACCGCTCCCCCTCATCTGCCTTTCACTCCCCCAGAACACTGCTCTGTATGCACTGAAAGCCTTGCTGGAAAGCGAGACTCCATGACTAGGAGATTCAGCTTGGCACCTGCTTGACTGGGGTCTCTGGGGGCTCAGAACCCCAATCTGTGAAACAAGTGCAGAGCTCGCCTCTTGCACCCAGAGTGAGACTCAAATAAAAGGAATAAGAATCGCAAGGAGAGGGGCCAGGGATTTAGCTCAGTGGTTCTGCCGCCTGCCTTGCAAGCAAAAGGTCTCAAGTTCGATACCCTATACAAAAGAAAAAAAAAAGAACCACAAGGAGAACAGCTAACATTTATTGAGAGCCACTACACTACGGGCCAGAATCCAAACCCCATGTGACTCTGGGTTCACATCCCGAGTCTTTGCTGTGTGACTTAAGTCAAGTGACTCCTCTGTGCTTCGAGGTGTCCATCTGTGAAAGGGGGGTAACGATACAACCTACCTCACAGGGTTGCTGCATAGTTTCTGACAAAGGAAACCCTACATAAATGTTAGCTATGCTGTCGCCATCATCATCATTTTTGCTGTACCTCAGCAGTGAACTACATCCCAGTCCTTTTTATTTTTTAATTTTGAGCAGGGTCTCACTAAGTCACTCAGTTGCTCAGTCTATGCTCACATTTGAATTCCTCCTGCTTCAGCCTCCCAGAGCACTGGGATTACAGGCATGAGCCCCTATACCTGTCCTATTATAATTAAGGCTCTTTCTCAGCCTTTGCAGGTCAGACTGTCGGGTCTTCCCCCATACAAGCACAGTCACACCCCATAACCATTCAACTCTCTCACTCATATCTTAAAACTTTCTTGTACCCTTTACTGACACCATGAGGGAACCCCTCTTTCCCAACCCTCTTACCCTTCCTGAGAGAGGATGCCATATCCTGCCCCGAGACCCCCACCTGTGCCCCACAGCCTCCTGGCCACCTTAAGCCCTCACTCACCTATGATGGCCCTGGGTTAGTCACCACTCCTTTACCTAAGGTGGAAGTGTAGAGGCATCTGCTCCTCTGGACACTGCTGTACCCTGCACTGTGCTCCCTGCCAGGGAAGGTCCAGGCCCCACCTGGCTCCAAACTAGCTCCATTACCCCACATCTCTCTCCCTAGCCTGAGGGCACCACTCACCTCTCTTCAGGGAGTCAGGGACTGCGCCAGTACCTGCAAAGGAAGAAAACCACCCTGTTAACATCCTCTGGCTCCTTTCTGAGCCCTCCTCCCCTGCCTTAGAGACCATCTGAACCTAGGAAGTCCCTGCAGCGATCACTCTCTCAGCCCTCCTGCTGCAAGCTCTGCATAGTATCAGAGGGACCCAGAAGTCATCTCTGGACACCTAGGCCAGTCCACCTTGCAAAACCCAGGAATCCAGGACTAGCCTTTCGGCACCTGGAGCCTCAGGAGCCACATCCCCCAACCCCTTCGTCCATCCTCCCTCAAGATCCTGGAGTCTGGAATTGTTCCTCTCCTCTCTCAGCCCCAGGATTCTAAGTTCCCAGGCTCCTCCTTCTCAGATCCCCAGGAGTCAGGACCAGACACTTCCTCCTTTAGAGCCTCGGGTTCACATCCAAGCCCCCAACTTCAAAGGCTGAGTGGTACCAGGAGGTGGGGAATGGCCAGAGGCTCGCATCTGATCCACTCTTAATATGTGTGGACATGTCCAACCCACATGGCCACAACCCACGGTTCTTCATCGGGATTCCCAGGGACACACCAGCAAGATCTGGGTGCTCCTGCCCTTCATGGGCACATATGGCCTAGCATATGGGTGCCTGGACCCTGACATACCGTAGCCCCAAACCCACTGGCCCAGAAGTGGGGTCAGCTTTGTACCGGGGCACAGGCACATGTGGCCTGCACATGTTTGAAAACACATAACCCTGCTCCCAGAGACCAACACTGAAGCAAAAATGGACTCACAACGTAAACACACACACATCCTCCAGGTTGATATGTACAACAACATACAACACTGACTTTCTTTTACACACACACACTCACAGATGCACAGACACGACCGAGAAACCCATGTGCCCCCTAACAGACAACCAGGTACCTGCATTTAGAACAGATATACCTTGCACACTCACCAACATGCTGGAACACACACATATAACAGATACACATCTGCACAGCCAACAATACACAGGTACACATGCTTACATGCCCAGGGACACTCATGGAACTTCTCATTTCCATGCGGCAGTCATAAAGCTGATATATTCCCACACCAAGATAATACAATACACACATGTATACACTAGCTGCTACACACTCGTACACAGAACCACAAACACACACAGACACTCACAAAGCTGAGAAACCCTGGGACAAACACACACAAAGATCTACCTTTGCAGACACAAGATGCTCACTAGTAGGTGCCACATACACAACATGTTGTCCCATGAGGGATTTACACACTTATAAATGCACACATAATACTGAACCACAGTAGCACAGTCAACAGACAGGCCCAGAGTCACACTCGCTCACAGTCATGGACATACATTCCTCCCGGTACTAAGGTACCTTGCCCCACCTACTTGCAGGCCACAAAAATCCTTCTATGCTTCCCAGCACATTATGATCCCCCTCCCCCAATCAGGGCTGGAGCCAGAGCCAGAGGTCAAAGTTCATCAGGTGGAATCTCAGAGGATTGGGGGGTTGAGTCCCAAAGCACTGTTCCAAGGAGATCCTCCCACCAGCAACCCCAGAGGTCCCCCAGCCTGGCCATCAGGACACAGGCAACTCTGGCCCCATCTTCGGATATCTGGCCAGTGGGGAGTTAGGGTGGGTGGGTGAGAAAGGCCCAGGTCTTCGCCCCCCACCCCCACCCCCGGGCCCATCTGTCCATCCCTCGGCCTCTCATCCTTCCATCTGTCCACCTCCCGGGTGCCCATCCCCCCTAGCCACCGGGAAGAGGAAGACATGGCCATCTCCCGCAAGGACCGCCGAGGACCCCCCCAGTTGACATGGACAGAGGGAGCGGCGAACTCCCCTCCCCCAAACCCACAACCGAGGCCTGGACCCACAAGACGCGGAGCCTAGCACCCGGCAGGGAACCTGATGTGGACTCACAGACACACACCCTCGGAAACATACAACCCGCAGACACACACACACACAAACACACACGCACAAGCACACAAATGGACACCGGAGCGAACACACCCGACTACACAGACCCTCGGATGGACATCCAACCCGGACACAAACATCCAACGCAGCTAGCGGCGCGCACACGCCGGCTGGGGAACCGCACCTGGCCGCACAACCCACGCACACACACCTGCACACAGCCCCTCCGAGGGGCGTGCGATAGCCCCCCAGACACACCGCCGGAGGGGCAGCCCTCCGGGGCACACACACGCACGGCCAGACACACCAGCGCGGCTCGACACCCCGCACACACCCGGATGGCCACACTCGCGGGACAGCGCGCACGCCGGCGCCGGGCATACTGGGCCGCGCGAGCGCACCGGGCCCACCGCAGCGCCGCGGATACACTCACACTCACACACCCGCGCGCACGCCCGCGCCCACACCGGCGCCCCTGCCCGCCCCCACCCCCCCCCCCACCCCCACCCCGGCCGCTGCGGGCCGCGCTCACCCAGCCGGGGGAGGGGGGCCCGGGCCCGGCCCCGCCGCCGCCGCCGCCGCCGCC